CGCTACAAATCTGTCTAAACACGCGAGGAAACAGTCCGATGACAATGACGATAAGACTTCAAGGTGTACAGCTTTTGTCGAATAACAAATAAATAATGCTAAATATGACCGTTCAACCCTAGCATTTCGTCGTAAACTTTCTTTTGTAAAGAACGGACCACCGAGGTCCACCCCTACATGCTCAAAAACATTACAAGGTATCAATCGGGCTGCTGGCAAAGGTGCCATCTCAGGCTGTAAGAGCACTGGATTGTGTTTAAAACAAATTTTGCATTTGGACAAAACTGACCGAATAATGCGACGGGATGCTAAAATCCAAAAATTTTGATTAATAATGTTTTGTAAGGTGCGTGGACCTACGTGTAAATATTTTTTATGTAAATATTCAATAAGTAACAAGGTAAATCTACTATTTTTAGGTAATAAACGAGGATGCTTCGCGTTATAAGGTAACGCTGAATAATTTATTCGACCCCCCACCCTGAGGTATCCGCGTTCGTCAATAAATGGAGATAATTTTCTCAACGACGGAACGTACTTTGTGCCCTTTGACAATCTATTTATTTCATTTGCGAAGTATGCACTTTGTACTAATTTAATTAAAACATCTTGGGCAGTATTTAATTCGTTAGTCGTCAGTATTGATTGCTTCGAGTGACCGGATTTGAGTCGGAACCATCTCAATATTCGAGCAAACGTACGTTGCAGTTTATAATAAGAAGAGAAATTGGAAAAGATTCGGTCACAGAACTCTAACTTAGTCTCCTCTATCGAATTATTTTCATTTGTGATTAAATTGAAGGAGCCTAATGTATGATTTGATTTCATTTCGGGTGTATTACTTTCATGTTGGTTGATAAATGTTCTCACTGGCCACTGCGAATAGTCGTCGTACAACCAAGATGGGCCCTTCAACCACTGCTCACTGCACTCCACGAGCTGTGACGGAGACGCTCCGCGCGAGCATATGTCTGCCATATTGCACTCACTACTCACGTGACGCCAACAGTGTGGAGGTAACACTTCACATACCTGAGTAACACGGTTACTAACAAACGGCTTTAATTTGTAAGCTTCTGTCTGAAGCCACGTCAACACGATAGTCGAATCGGTTAACGCAGTAATACGAGTAATTTTTACACGAGTTAAAATGTCACGGACATATCTAATTAATTTGCTTAACAAAACTGACGCCATTAATTCCAACCTCGGGATAGTTAATGGTTTGACGGGGGCTACTTTAGATTTTGCCGTCACCAGGCGTACTTTAGTTTGACCTCTATCGTTACGACTGATCACATACACACAACTAGCATAACCGCGAGAGCTTGCATCGCAAAAGGCGACCAATTCACATTCGGTCTGTTCTGGTAGCAGCATATGTCTATCTATCTTGATTGCCGTTAGTCGCGGGAGATCATCAACGTAATTAAGCCAGCGCTTAGTTACGTCAGTTGGCAGCTGCTCATCCCATCCTATGCCCAGCTTCCATAAATCTTGCATTATCTCTTTCGCGATGAAAATGCACGGTGAAATAAAACCCACGGGGTCGTAAATAGAAGCTAATAATTTTAAAACAGAACGTTTAGTTGTTACTTTATCAGTCTTATCTACTGTGAAATAAAAACAGTCAGTCAAAGGGAACCATTTCAGACCTAGCACTTTGACTGAATATTCGTTACCATCTTTCATAAATGTAACAGGACACTCTCGGTTTTCTAACGGAACGCGTTGTAAAACTTTTGCACTATTACTCGCCCACCTTTTGAGTATAAAGCCACCGGAATTAAACATCTCTAAAAGTTCATCTTGTAACCGAGATATCTGTGACAATGAACTACAAGAATATAGAATGTCATCCATGTACACGCCCTCGCGCACAACCTTTGCAGCGAGTGGGAAACGTTCTTCCTCGTCATAGGCTAACTGTAAGAGGGTGCGGATAGCTAAGAACGGTGAGCAACTTAAGCCGTAAGTGACAGTTTTTAATTCATAAACGTCAATGGCATCGTTAGGCGAATGACGATACAAAATATGTTGATAACATCTATCTGACTGATTCAGTTTAATTGCCCGATACATTTTGCATACGTCACAAATCAAACAATATTCAAACAACCTAAAATTCAATATTATAGCCCCAATATCTCGATACAGATTAGGCCCGGTCAATAGAATATCATTAAGCGAAACGTTCGTGGACGTTTTAGCCGAGGCATCGAATACCACACGCAAAGGAGTAGTGGAACTACTGGGCTTAAGTATACTGTGATGAGGTATCACATATTTGCTTGGGGTGTCCCCCGAATAAAGCTCCATGTGCCCTAGATTTTCATATTCGCACATGAACTCTGAATAGGCTTGTCGTAATACAGGTGAACGATTCAACTTGCGCTCGGTGAACAAGAGTCGCCGCTCGGCTGCCGCTCGTGACGCGCCCAACGGAGGCGGGTCTGGTATGAATGGTAACGGCACTGAATAGGTACCATCCTCAGTACGACTATAACGAGCCACAAAAATGTCTTCCGCTAATTGTTCCAAAGGATTAATCGAGGGTTTGCTTGGCAATTCTTCGATTTCCCAAAATTTACGCAACGTTTGATCTAAAGACTCTTGTTCATCAAATGAGACTGATAAATTATAATTTTTTAAATTGTCCTTATCATTGCTATAAAGTTTACCACTTACAACAAACCCGAAAGCGGTATCGATCACGCTTGGTATATCCGATGAAATAATATAAGGTTTATCCTTAATAAGTTCCGAAACTATATCATTGCCCAATAGTATATCGATACGCGAACGCTTATAAAATAATGGATCAGCTAAATTAAAATTCTTATATTTATTAATAACGTCCGAGTGGAATCGAACGTTAGGCATATCAGCAGATACCTTAGTCACTACGACCATGTTCAGTGTAAAACTAGGTAGGTCAGTGTGTAGGGACCTTAATGTGCATGTAATCATGCCGTGATTTTTTACAGCCTCTCCACCGAGACCATAAATATTAAACGAACACTTCTTTCGAGGTAAGCCCAAACGTTGAGCACACTCAGTTGTAATAAATGAGCTCTGAGCTCCAGAGTCAATAACTGCACGGCAGTATTGAAGCTGGCCGCTACTATCAATTACTAACACGCGCGCCGTTCCCAATACAACACCGTAACCCGAGTGAACGTTATTGGAATGAAGCGTATCTATCGTATAACGCTCTGAGTCACTCATAGCCTGAGACGAGACGAGTGCTTGTTGCACTTGCGAGTCAGAGCACAATGGACGGGTGGATGTTGGCACGAGCGTGTCGCTCACTGGCTCCTTATGCAATAGATAATGATGTAGTGACGCACATACACCACAAGACATCTCACTTTTACAAGTTGAGGTATCATGATTTCCTTTTAGGCAATTATGACACAATTTTAAGGTATTGACACGGTCAATCCTTTTATCTACGGTCAATTTACGAAATTGATCGCACCTATAAATCATGTGATTTTGATTGCAATGCGCGCAAATTATTTTTTTATTTTTATTATAATTTGACACATTAGTATTTAAAACTGTCTTTGAATAACTTTTGTAGTGGTTATTATTGTTGCCTTTGTAATTGTTACATATAGACTTATTTCTTGATTGTAACGACATCGTACTATTCGATGAATGTTCGAGTACTTTAACTTGTTTATTTACAAAACTAATTAATTCCGAAAAAGATGGAAGTGAATTTTGATCCCGATTTTCTTCAAAAAGCCTCCTAGTATGCGCATCCAACCCACGTAAGGCTAAATGACAAAATAAATAGTCATGTAAATTTTTAATTTTTAATGCCTCGATGGCTTTAAAAGAGTGATCGAATGTTTCGATAAATAAAGTAAGATTTGCGGTAGTATCTTTATTTAACGGCGTAAAGTTTATCATTTTGTCGATGTACCTACCCACGAGTATTCGATCATCTTGATATTTATTACATAAACTTTGCCATACGACAGTATAATTAGCGGCTGTTATGGGCAATTTTTTAACAATGTTTAATGCCGAACCTTTAACACATGAAAGCAAATAGTGAAACTTATCTATTTCATCGAAATCTCGATTGTGGACAAGTGATACAAATGTATCGTAGAATGTGGTCCACTTCTCAATATCACCATCGAAGTCAAATAAACGTAATTTAGGTAATGACGGCCTTACATCACTCCTATCTTTCCTACTGAGGGATGCCTGCTCGTCCGGTTTTAATCTTAAATATTGCAACCTACATACTTTATAAAGTTCATCAAATGTATCTAATTCTCGCGTTGATAATCTTGTCTCCGGTTTTAATGATATATCTATTTCAATAATATTTAACACTGTTTCTTCAAACTTTGAGCGGACACTTTCTAATTCGGAATAATCGGCTAAGAAATTCTGAATTTGTGTGGGATCATTTATTTGGGATCTCGCGATATCGAAAACCTTTTGTAATTTAGCAAATAGGTATTCCTTTTTAAAAATAAGTGTTTGCCTTTTTATTTGTAATTTATCCGACATTATGAACAAATTACAAAATTAATACTTTATAAACGCACCGCGAGCAATGGACATCCAGGTAAAAAAGAGGCAAATTAAATAAGGGATATTAAATTAATTAAATGCGTAGTTTTACTCAAATATATGACGTCCACGGGACGCGAATTAAGGGTAGAAAATTATTATTCGAAGATCACTAATTCGAATATATGCGGCTCGAAGGCCAGAAATGTGGCGGATTGGGATTATTTTATTAGATATAGTGGACTGTATTGAGATTCTAAATCCCCTGAAACGTTCAGTTACCGCAGTCACAAAATCACACCAAAAACAGCAATAAACTACTCACGGTCTTACTAGCCAGCCTCCCAAGATCAGCAAACGTTGACAGCTCCTGGTAGCTTCTTCTACACGGTAGAATACACTAGCAATTAGATTGTACACGGTACACTCTGGAGTAGTCCCTTTTTAAAGTTTTTGGAGAGATGTTCACATCACGAACACAAAGAGAATGTGTATGGCTTGTCTCGCCTCCTACCCTCCTCTTCTCTTTTTTTAACTCCACAGATTATTACAACGCATATTACGTCGCAATGTTGCCACTAGGTGTGACCGGCGCTCCGATCGTAGCAGATCATTGTGCCTCGGTATAAATTTTGTGAGTTGCGGTTTATTACTGAACAGTATGTATGTATAAATATTAGATAAGACAATTGAGTATGTATATATTTTACTATAAAATATTTCAGCACAGCATGTTATAACTTCAAATAACAGTAATTAGCAAATTTTTCCTCTCTAAATTATAGTTTAAAATAATATATTCATTAAAAATAAATGTTTTCTGGATTAGCAAGTCCACCAGCAGTGCAAAACTTTTAATTACTAACTTTTTAAACGATCTGTCGACGTATGAATTTCAATACTGGCCACATGAAGGTTATATTTTATTTTATTTATAAACGAGTTTTGATTGAATTTAATTTTACAAGCAATTATAATTTAATGTCAAGCGATTCAATTTATTTTCCATGTTTTGTTTTAGATTACAATTATGTTTATGAATAGAAAATCAATTTTTATTTATTTACACAAAATGAAGTTGATAACTTTAGAAATTGCTTCAGCTTACAGATACTGATTAAAGTAATAAAGTTAAAAAAATATGTTACCTACTGTAAGAAATGTTCGCGGTTGCTATTTTAAATTACCATATTTACATTCTACATATATTATACATATTTAATTTCTAATATTTTTTTTTTATTATCATTTAAGATTTGGATCGTTAGTTTATTCTGCCAAATTTAACAACAGTGACAACATTGAATTTTTTATGTAGTTTATTTTTATTTTTAACGGGACTGCACCTTTAATTGCACTGCAGGTAACGCGAATGTTATTCTTTGTTCCCGATACTGATACCACTGAGGTAATTAATTTGTAATTTTTCAGCTGTAATTTTGCACGTGTTCGAAGGTAAAGATGTTATAGAAGAAAATTAAAAAGTAAGTTTATTATGCTTTTACGAATTTATTTTAAAACAATACACTATATTAATTAATACTATATATTTACAGCGATTTTTATGTCGATTATATAGGCAATACTACGCGTTGCTACTTCCTATTAAGTACTAAATGTAAAATGACCTACAATTAGTAGAGCCATGCTGCAGCTATATTATGGTTGTAGCACGAATGGGTCGGCTCGACCGGGGAAGGACCACGCTCTCACAAAATACCAACGTAAAATAGCAGCTTAACGCTGCTGTGTTTCATATGGTGAGTGTAGAGAACCGGAGACCCTTTTTTACTGGAAACGAGGCATTCCATCTTAGTCCTCACGGGTGACAACGCTTCTGCATTTTGATTTATAATAGAGGATAGATGTAGATGTCTATGGGCCACAGCAACCAATTACCATCAGGTGGACTGTGTGCTCGTTTGTCACCCTTATCCTATAAAAAATAAATTACAAAAAATATGATGTATTACTCGCAAAGTAAATTTAATTGTGTAGAGTTTAAACTATAGAATATGAGAAATTATTATCAAAGGATATTGTTGAGAAAGTTTATTAATTTACAATCATCAGTAATAAAAAATAACATAGATAAAGTGAATTGAAGAGAAAATATAATCAGTAAACAATTGTAACATTAGGAATGCTTGAGTTTAAAAGACTAACCCAGTTCTAGAAATTTCTCCTGTATCATGGAGGCGTTTATATATCTAAGTTGCACGTAAACAAGCAACCCAGACCCGGAAAAGTTATTTGTGGTCCTTACATACACTTGCTTCCCGCTGCGTCCAACCAAACATTCAGCCATAGCGCTACCGTCCCTTTAGATATATTAGAAGATACAACTGGGGAGTGGAATAATTTGTAATTCAAAATAAAAGATTAATTAAAAAATATTTTTTTTTCTGTCTTTTTGTCCGATAACAATCTGGATGTCTTCAAGGCAAGAGTATATAGGAGTTTGTTTGCACGCTAAGACAGCGCGATTTACTATCTATAGCTTTATCACCACTTACCACCAGGAGGGACTGCAGTCAGACCCTGGCTAATAGTAATTAAAAAAATAAATTAGATAGGTGATACTGACACAAGTTTACGCGCAAGCGCAAAAGCCCTACGCGTTCATTTTAAAAAACTGTTAAATTCAAACAAAAGAAATACTATGTTTTAAATTTAATTAACAAAATAATACTAAAGGCTTTCGTTAAACTAAGTAAAATTTTGCAAATCATCATAAGTTTAGGGGAATTATAGCAAATGGAACGTTCGCACATCGTCAATTTACCAGAAACGTATGTATCTTCAATGAGGTTTGTTAACTATCTACTACTGGCAGCTTACGAGTTGAAATTTTTAAAATAATACACTATTTACCAATTTTGTAGAACACTAAGACACGTCTCTCACAAATCACAAACTGCCACTAAATGCGGTTTTGAGAGTCACCTCTTTGCTGTCGGGGAACTATTATGCTTTTTTTTACATCTTCCCGACCATAATGAATTCCTGTTTTTGTACGTATTACCTTCGGCCGGGACAAATTGCGAAGAACGCCTTATAAATATTCGGTCGGTTAATAAAGGGTAAGCTGAGAACGCTTAAACTTTTGAATTTGGAATTTGTTTCAATTTTTTGCTGTGTTATTTTTTTTTTAGAATAAGGGTGATAAACGAGCAAACAGTCAACCTGATGGTAAGTGGATGCTGTGGCCCATAGACATCTACATTTATCCTCGATTAATAATCAAAATAGAGATACGTTGTCACCCCTGAGGACTGAGATGGATGTTTCCAGTAAAAAGAGTCTCCGGTTCTCTACACTCACCATACGAAACACAGCAGCATTAAGCTGCTATTTTACGCTGGTATTCTGTGAGAGTGTGATTCTACCCCGGTCGAGCTGACCCATTCGTGCTGCAACCACAATATAGCTGCAGCAGGGATCTACCACGTAAAAATTTTGACATCTTTTTTAAATTGTTGCAGTAGATGCAAAATTAATAAAATGAATTCCCGTCTCTTTTTATCTTCTTACTTCTTTTTTTTAAAAAAACGTTACCCCCAGACTAGGATTTTCTTCTGTGTCGTGGAGGCAGTTTACAAACATAAATTGCACAAGGACAAACATCCAGACCCGGAACAATTATTTGTAGGCCATACAAATACTTGTTCCGTGCGAGATTCGAACCCGCGGCCCCCAGCGCAACAACTGATTACAAAAAATAATTTATTGATAGTCTTGGATTTAGACTATTGTTTATCACGTCTCCTGCTAACTAAAGTTAGTCCTTTAACCGCGGCGCCACTTTCATAAATTGACATTAGCTGTCAAACGCCATACTTTACATTTTACTTTGCATATTTCCGCAAGTCAACTTTCGTGAAGTAGATTATAGCTTGGCTTCGACCCCGCTTTTTGTGATAAGTTCTAATAAATCTGACAGTCCAAACTGTTGGAGTCATCAAGACACCCAAGTATTTTTACCCTTTGCGTTCCGTACCCAAAGGGTAACCAACGGAACCCTATTACTAGCAGGCTATATCTCATGATCCGTAATAGGTAGACAGTTGAAATTTTCACAGAATGTTTATTTCTGTTGCAGTATAACAAAAAATAAATAAATAAAAATTAAAATAAGTTAAAAATCAAGAAGGGTCCTCCTACTAGAAAAGTGTATTACGATGGTACGGAACTCTTCATGCGCGAGTCCGACTCGCACTTGGTCAATTATTATTTTTATTAAGGATAATTATTATTGCCGTGTAGTGTCAGCATAAAATAATTCACTTTATGATACGCATCCAGTGGGTATTATTAGAGGCGATAGAGAAAAACTTAACCAAGCGATAGACATCTTCCTGATAACAGCTTAGTAATAATAAAAAACTGTGGTTCCCCATGAGTTTGTCACGCTTGGTAATTATGGCGTACTTAATATCCCCAATGAGCAATATATATTAATATTAAAATAATAAAATAAAACATATTCCTATGTTTCTTTTATTAATCAAAGAAAGAAAGAATTTTTCCGAAAAACAGATTTATTCACTGAAACTATACACATCACTTGTATAACTAAGACAGTTAAACGTATAGCAGATTAAGACTACTAGTGATGGGGTGTGAATAGGTTATGGCTCGTTGAAACAGCGTTTTTAGTAATGTATTATAATATCTAACGATTATGCTGGAAACCATATCATATAATATAGGAAATGATATAGATTTGTTGACTTAAACACTGTCACCCAGAGGGGTAGACAGAGATTATGAACTTCCATTTGGCACGATCCTGACACACCTGTCTCGGTTCCTCCACATCAATATACCTACGCATACACGCTTAAACACAATGTTCCTTAAACCTATGTCAGTAAATGAAGTAAAATTATAGGTAATGACTTTAATTAAAATCAACTCTGTAGGCTACGATGGCATAAATACACAAATATTGAAGTCATGCATTGATCAAATAATTGACATATTGACTCATTTGTCAATTTGTCATTCTCATCAGGAAGCTTTCCAGAAACATTAAAGTCCTCCTTGTAAAGCTTACTATACACAAACGTGGCAACAGAAACTTCGTTAGCAATTATCGCCCAATTACCTTGGTACCTATACTTTCAAAAGTATTTGAAAAGTGTATGTATAAAAGGCTCCTAGAATTTTGCAATAAGTTTAACATTATAAATAAAAATCAATATGGCTTTCAAAAACATAAATCGACTAGTTAGCTATTCATCACCTAATCAATACATTGTTGACCAATATTAATGATAATTATTTTACTACGGGACTGTTTTTTTACTTAACTAAGGCATTTGACTTCGTATCACACGATCTATTATTAAATAAATTGGAAAAATAGGAATAAGGGGTATTACGTACAATTACTTCGTATTTAACAAATCGTACTCAATGTGTCACGATAACAAAATTGATCAATAAAGAACTAAGAACATATAAATTCAACTACCTAGAAAATATTAATGGGGTTCCACAAGGTAGTATCTTAGGGCCCATATTGTTTATATTATATATTAATGACATATCTGCTGCGACAAGTCATGAATGTATCACATACGCTGATGACATTTCGGTTATAGTTAGGACTAAAAAAAATAAGAATTCAATATATAATCACGAATTGGACATAACACTCACAATTTAAAAATTAAATTGGCAAAATCAAATTTTATTCAGTTTAAAAAGTCAAAACATAACCAATACAATTTCAAGCTAATCATTACAAAAATCAATGAACTAGAAAAAACAAAGCTTTTAGGTGTTGTCATAGACCAGAATCTGAACTGGAAAGCACATATCAACATGAAGTTTGTTATAAAGTAAACAAATGTTCTTACGCGCTCAACCAAATTAAAAAAGTGGCTGACATAAAAACCTCTGTTATGACTTACCGAGCATATGCTGAGTCTATACTCCGTTATGGACTGGTGATGTGGGGAAATAGTTCGGATTGGAATCGGGCATTTATTGTGCAGAAAAAGTGCATTAGGGCAATCTGCGGAGTACAACATGATGAATCGTGTCAGCCTCTATTTAAAGGTCTTGGAATACTGCCACTACCAACGATATATATTTTAGACGTTTGTGTTTTTGTGCAGAGACACAAACAATTATTTGAAAAAGCTTGTGAGGTACAGACTACTCGCTCACGTAGGGACCCACACAAGCTAGTACTTAAGGATATACCTAAATCACAAAAATATGGCAAAAGTTGCCTTACCATGTGTGTTCGAATATATAACAAACTCCCTGACGAACTTAAAACCCTAAATATTACATTGTTCAATCAAAAATTGTATATATGGCTCAATGAAAATAACTTCTATAGTGTAAAACAATTCTTGGAAAAAAAAGTTAGATTAAGTATTGGATAATATTTATTTAAAAAAAATTAATTTAATTATTGTTATAGTATTGTTATAATATATCTTTGATTAAGCTATGCGACTTTTACTGGGTATTGAAATTGACATTTAATTGTTATAATGTTATTTGTCTATTTGTTTACTAAATCAGGTGACTAATGTGTATTTCAAATAATTAAGGAAAATTTGACATTGTTTAAAAATATTTGCATTGCTATGTAAAATAAGCAAAACATGAGCGCTCGATTTTTAGATGTGAACAACACCTATACCATGTTTTACGCAAATAAAGATGATTATTATTATTATTATTATTATTATTAGCCTAGAAAAGGGTGTTAAATTAGTTAAATTAAATCCGAGATATTATAAATTGACCGCTTACTGGATAGGCACAATAAAAATAATAGACTTCACTAATGATAATGATGGTGATGACAAGACTTTTCTTATTTTACACACGACTAGCGACTAACGCCTTCCGCGAACATGTGTAACACCACATGAATTTCAAGTACGTTGCCAGCTATTCAGAAAGGAGAAGGTTGTTTTCTTGAATAAGTCACCTCTGTCTGTTATCTCTCTGTTCTGTCGGAAAAACCATTGGCGACAGAAAATTCCCCGGTGCGGTGGTTGGAGCACAGCGATGCTTGCTACATTGTTATTTTATTTTATTTTTAATAGAATTTGAATGTATATGTGAATAAAGTCACTCGTAAATAATCTATAACATATTATAACATGTCAACTTCACATTAAGAATAAAACGAAGGCATTCGAAAAATAAAATTCTTAATTTTTTTAAAGATTTAATTTAAACATAGTTTTAGAAATACGTGCCGAAATCAATTTGAAATGATTTTGCTTTTTGCTTTTTAATGTTGCATAAATATGTTCTTAAAAATAAATTTAAATATTATTCAGCTTAACAAAACATCTGCAATGTATTTTTGATACAGCCAAAAATGTTTGAACAAAAAACTTATTAACATTTCAACGCAATGCAGGTATAATTCCTCATTGTACAGGCACAAAATAATAGTGTCGTTTAAACAAAACGGAAGAAAAAAGTGGTATTGTTTCGCGTTAAGAAAAAAATATGCAAATTGTGACCGGCCAAAGTAGGAAGGGTATTTTACCAACGATAAAAACATTTCAAGAATGTTTTTTTAAATTTTTAAACCCGTTGATTTCTTTAATTTAATTTTTCATTTTTAACTCGAAAATTTTGCTAGAAAAACAAAACACTTCTCAATGTAATTATTTTGATTGTCACTGTAATTTTGTATATAGTAAATAATAAATGAATCTTTATTGAGTTTAATGCTAGCTCAGTCATATTCTTGAGGAAAAAGGAAAATCAAATTAAATTAAAAAAAAACTATTGTTAAAAGGCCTGCAAAATTATTTTTTTCATTGTCAAATTATGAAACTTTTTGAATTACTTACATGCAATAACCACAAAGACTTGACTGTCATAAATAGTTCCCTATTAAATTATTATTTTGCAAACTGTAAAATAACTGCAAAATAACAAACTATTTAGATAATATTTTTCTGTGTAAAAAAACTGGTAAGTAAGGCGTTTATAATATCCAAGTCTTTACCAAAATATGTTCATTGTTGGTGATACTGGCCAAAGAGTTTCCAAGCATTTAAATTTTTTTTTCTTGATAACACATAATAACGTTAAGTAGAATAATTGACTCTGTAGACATAAATGGGGTAATTTCGCAAAATCTAATTACTGATAATTGAAAAAGTCAAAGATGACGTAATGCTATAATCGCCTATCTTATACGTATGCATGAAATAAATTACTTTTACATTTTGTCAAGTAATTGAGAAAAATCATTAGAGAAGCGAAAGAGAATCTTATGTCTAACAGTGAACTTCCCCAGGATGATAATACTTCTGAAATTACAGCTTTATTTCCAAGAAAGCAATTTCTGTGATAGTAAGCCCATTTTATAAACACTGCAACAACTTGAATTGCTTATAACCTAGTTTCAAAACAAGTGTATTTTTCATTCGTTGCCACCTTAACAATGTATCTATGTAACTTTAGGCCAATTACAACAGATAAATAAGTATATTTTTCGGTCCAATTTCTACTAAAATTTTCAAAAATGAATCTACATTCTTCCTCTTTGCTACATTCGCTGTTTTGTTGTTTTTTATATTTATCATAAAATTGAATGAAAGTACAAAAACCTAATTTAATTTTAAGTTATATTTAAAAAATTTAAATTTGGAATAACACACAAACAAACAAATACTAAATTAAAACATCGCCAGGAAAGGGGCAGTAATAAAGAGTATTACAGAGCCATTTAATAACGTTAAGTAAACTAAAATATTAAAATAACTACAGATACGATCTCCATTAAGTTCGCATGCGAAACGACAATTTGTATTAAATATTTATTGGCCGCAGTAATTTCTACTTGATGGAATATTATTTCCTGTTTATACTTAAGTTTAAAAGCATAAGTTGAACCATTTTTACCGCTTAATGACGTCATAAAACTCTGAGTGTTAATTTATTATTAACTTAAGGAAAAATTAATCCTAGAGTTTCTGTCGTCACTTTGCTATTTAATTAAGTGTGTGTGTATGTGTGTTGTTTTTTTAAATACTGGCAATGCTATTAACATTACTAACATATTCCCTTTTAACCACTTCTGGTAAGCTTAAATTGCTTGAGTTAGTAGTAGTTAGGTGTGGTTCACGACAGCAGTCGAATGGCGGATTCGAACCCATGACCTTTTGAGTTCGTGACAACGCATCTGAATTTTGAATCTTTATTGAGGATAGATATAATTTTAACAAATATCGGATTAGAACATTTTCAACAGTTTCGCGAACGCAGCCAAGCCAAG